GTATCCCTTAGTTTCAATTAGTAGATATCCCAATCCAAAACCCTTTATTTCAACTTATCCACGACCCAGCTCTCCAATAACCAACTGAGTGTCGTTCGCACTTGTTACGATTATTTTGTTTGCCCAATCTTCTACCCCTCATATTCTTACCCTGAGGTAAGCAAAATATTGTCGTTACAACACGACACGTTGAAAACGACATTAATTCTCTTTGGCAAAGTGCCTTCTAATGTTTGGCAGTAATCTGGTTGAAAATAATTCCAAATTTCTTGAACTTTACACCGCGAGCCGAACAGCACGCTCATTTCTTTCGGTAATCTTTGAATTTTAACTTTTGTTACAATATTTCCTAAATAATTCAATAGAATTGAATTCAATAGGGTATCATCGTAAGTGAAATTAAAATCGATCTCAACCATTCTCGAATGCTGATTTTTTTTCACTCAAATTTTCCTCAGCGAATTGGTGATCACTCTTTATTTATACGTCCATGGTGGTCACCGTCAATATTAACATTTCCATCCGCGTATGAACAGCCGGTTCAATTGGATTTTCACATCGTTCTCGTACAATTATTATGCCTCTAAAGCGACAAGCAATTGGCCGATCTACATCTCAAGCACGGAAGAAAAGAGCATTACGAGCCTCAGAATCATACGAGCAACGAGCATCAAGGCTGGAAAATCTTCGAGTACATGCCACTAAAACCCGTTTATTTGAATCCTCTGAACAACGAGAAGTGAGGTTAGAAACTGATGGAATACGTACTAGTCAGGTTCGTTAGTCTGGGACAACTGAGCAACTGGAAAGAAGGATGTTCGAATAAGCACCGCTCGATCAAGACGAACACGCTGATTTAAATCTTGGTGCATTCCATTATGACAATAATAATGGTTACAGTCTTCATTCCAGTGTCGTTATTGGAAAAATGGATAAAATTTGCATGTATTGTAGCGTTCTCAAATTAAAAACGAAACGAAGGAAATGTGCTGTGCCAGTGGAGACGTTAAACTGCCAGAATTACATCTAGGTGGTACAAGCAAGACTTTTCTTCTTTCATTTTGCCAACCATACGATCACAAAATAATATTGCACTTGCCATTGCATCATTTGGAATTGCAGCGACTCTTTTGAAAGATGATCGAATAGCGAATTCAGCATTAAAACTACCGTTTAGTTTGCAAAACACTGAGGCACTGCAAAAACTCTGGAATGAAAAAATGAAATGAAAGAATGAATTATCCAAACATGCCAAATTATCATATGGGACCAATGTGCATTGTCTCGCAAGAAAGCATTGAAAGCGCTTGATCGTACACCGCAAAATTTAAGGGGAAACGCACGGATCTTCGGTGACGTACTCATTTTATTGTCTGGTGATTTTCGACAAACACTGCCGGTTATATCTTTCAACACCCGATGATGAACTTAATGAATGTCGCAAATCATCAGTTTTATTGCGTCATTTACAGAAATTTAACCCAACTTTAAAAACCGGACTTTAAAAACCAACATGCGTGTAAACTACAAACGGGATGTTGAAATGTGCGAATGCAAATTGATGAATCTACGCAATGTATCATCTTACTAGCAAACTTCTGTAAGATCACAAAAAGCATAGACGAATTGGTGCAAAAAGTTTTCTCAAACATTGCACAGAACTACAAAAATCATCAGTGGCTCGGTACGCGTGCTATATTAGCGGCCAAAAACATCGATGTCAATATCATCAACTTAAGGCTGTTTTATCGGTGCACCAAAATTTTTTCTCTGTTATTTATCGACGAAATGTCTCGAAATTTGGACATGTTATACGAAATTATGTTGCCTTTAAACTGATGGTTTTACTTTTTTTATTTTTTTGAATTTTCTGTTGAAAAATTGGATTATACTGTTTAACGTTCTATTATAACCAAACTTTTCAAGCCCATCAGTTGAAAGAGTTTTTTTTTCTGTAATCGTTGATTCTTTTTTCACCTTTCTGTGTCCAGTAATAATCGAGAAAAGCGTATTCAAACTTTGAAGAAAATTGCTAAAAAATACTGAAATCTAATAGTGAAACGTGTTCCTCATCATTGTCGCTGAGCTTGATCGTTATCGCAATAGTGACGTCAAATCACATGAGCGTACGGTACGGTCTTATTTTTATTTCTCTATGGGTACGGTCAGTTAGTTCGCTTGAATTAGAATCCATTTTAGTTCTTTCATTCTTGTATTTTCTTTATCAACTTGCTTAGTTTTTACAGTTTACAGTATTCTTATTTATTTTGAAAACATTGAAATTATTTAGTTTACGTGTATGTTAAGTAATATATTATTAGTTTAGTGGTATAAGTTAAAAGTTCTTTAGTTTACGCGTATTTTTAAGTATTACATTAGGTTAGTGATATAAGTTATAAGAGACAAGATAAAAAATGAGTCCCAGTAAACGTCCTATGTCAAGGAAAAGGAGAGCAATTGCACTGCTTTAGTATTTATTATTTATATTACAACCGTTTATAAAAGCTTTTATTATACATATATATATACATACATATATATATATATATATATATATATATATATATATATAATATATATATATCATAATTTATATATATATATATAATATATATATATATATATATATATATATATATATATATATATATATATATATATATATATATATATATCTATATCTATTCAAGGGTTGAATAATCATTCTCCATTTTCATGCAACTTTTCTAATATGGAGATTATCAAAGAAAAAATGGACTGATTGATAAGTACATTGACTTTTAAATGTCAAATGTGGAATATTGAAAAGGAGATAGCAACATAGGATTCTGGTAACAATTCACTGAACTTGAATGGTTCTGGTTATTCAGACATACAGCAGCAGCACGCTGCATTAAATATACCTGTGATTTCCTACAGGCAGTATGCAAAACATACGGAAACAGTTGCAGATATCATCGGCCAAACACTTTATGATTCCTTAGAAGAGGCTGGACGGGAGGAATTAGCTTTAGCCAAAGAAATTGGTGAAGTAGATTCCGACGGAAATGGGTTAATAACCGTTATAGCTGATGGTGCTTGGTCAAAAAGATCGTATAAAGTAAACTACGATGCTTCTTCAGGTGTAGTACCTGACGTTGTAAAATTTATTAAATTAGTACGCCTTTGATTGATAGGACATGTAATTAGGCGAGATGAAGATGAAACGATCAGAAAAAATTTCGACCGAAGAGGACCAGTGGGAAGACGATCCAGAGGAAGACCAAAACTTAGGTATCAAGATAACATAGAGGATGATCTAAAATCCATCGGAGTTAAAGCATGGAGAAAGTTGCCAGAGGCAGGGGCGAATGGAAGATTGTTCTGAAAAAGCCTTTGGCTCATGACGAGCTGAAATGCCACTGATATGATGAAATAACTATCCACGATTTGTGTTTTATTCATCAATTGGATACTTTTCTTATGTAATTGCAACCTATAAATATATTAAAATAATGTATATTCCATTCAGAGAACTTTTTCCTCGCAGTGCGTCGCCTCGAAATACTTGCCAGATAAATACATTTACTATTATGATGGTTTCGCAGGTACCAATTTTTTATAGATAAATAAAAATATTTTTTGTTTAATTTTTACTACCCTAATATCAGTTTTCTCTAACAAATATTAACAAAATATTAATTATATATTAATATTAATATAACAAAATTTAAATTTATTATAAATAAACACCATGGTGTTTTTTGCAGTCACGTTTCACAAATTTTTATTTAATACTATGTTTAGCTAAGACATATAAATTAAAAATGTGATTAATTCTTTTTAAAACATTATCTACGATAATTAATCTAAAAAAAAGTATTCCGACAAAACTAATTTGAATGGAGAATAATGCATTTATTTTAAACAACCCGTGGGCCGGCGCCACTGAATAAACATCCAAACTATGTATTAGGAAGTCACGTAGGGTCTGACATAGCAGTGTAGAAAAGTAAGTGATACGCCCACTTCAAATCGCAGTATGCTATAACTGCGAAAACAGCCTTAATCATTATATGGACAACATAAGAAGACGAAATTGTCAAGTAACCAACTGAATTCTTGAATTCGTTTGATTTGCCAGGCATAACACCGGCACGTTCTTAAATTGAAAATTGGCGTACCCGTCATTCTTCTTCTAAACAAAAATCCACCAGGAGTTTGTAACGGAAAAAGACTCTCAATCTACAAGATAATGAACAATGTTATCAAGGCAACAATTTTGAGTGAAAAATTCAAAGGTACTGTTGCCACGTATCCCAATGATCCCGACAGATATGCCATTAGAATTCAAATGTTTATAGTTCCAGGTACGACTAGCTTTCGCAATGAATATAAAGGAAGCATAAGGACAATCGTTGCGAGTGTGTGGATTAAACTTGGAAAATCCATGCTTTTAACATGGGCAGCTCTAGGTAGTCTGCACACGCGTCGGAAAACCTTCTGATTTATTCGTTTACGCACCAGAAAGAAAAACAATAAATATTGTGTATCCTTCAGCACTTCAATAAATATCGAATTGAAACGAAACGCCTCAATGTCAATCTTTTCGAAATGAACAGAATCAATAAAATGACTCAAAATGAATTGAATATTTGTGTAACGTCTTTTCTTCAAATTGATTTTAGTTGGTGGTGTAGCAATGCGCGCAGGGTACAGCTAGTAGTTAAATAAATTCTAATTGTGAAAGATAAAATTATGTTGCATATTGGCTTTCGTCCATTTTATACGAGTCTGGGTTCGCATTCGGTGTCCATCTACGATTTTTGTTTGAGTGTTTTCTAATACAAAGTAGGTAAGTATATTAAATATGAAATCAAGTAAACAATGAAAAGATTCTATACATGTTTTACACATTCTCATTAAACCCAGAGAACGTTATACAATCATGCACACTAACATTAGTAATCGGATATATACACTTCTCACATTCTTAGGTCAATAGAAAATAATATACTTACTGCGATTTGATTATCTATATGTACTTTCAAACAATTTCCATCCAAATTTCTCATGATAAGAAGTTTTTGCTGTGTTATTCTTTGGGCGAGTCTTCTCAAACACATTTCCGTTTCCCTTCGTTTATTTTTCTTATTCGACGGCGATCTATTTTCTATTGAACTAGTAGACTGTGAGTCACTAACCACCACCTTTTAGCAAAGACAACACATAATGCAGATAAATAAATATTGCATACGATTAGCAAATCAAAAGAATTAACTAAAGAGAAAGCATGAAGTACTACGTGCTTTTTTACATAGATCATATATGCATCGCGTAGTTTATTAACTTTTAAAATGGAATTGTAACACTATAAACTTGTAGAAAGTGTTTTATATTATCACAACTTGATAATGGTTTAACTTACAAATCAATATAGTAAACGAAAAAGTTCAGGAGCGAAAACAAATCACTCAAAAACTAGAATATAGAATGATAAAAATGTATAGGTATTAATCAGACCGTAGAAATTTTTTCCTACCTTAATCTTTACATTTTTCGAATATATCTTAGGCAAAAGCCACAAAACGTAAAATTAATTTCCTATTATTTTTGGTTATAAAATTATTTTATTTTATATATTCACGGAGTATTCCCATTTTTACCAAAATTTAACAAAAATACAATATTCTAACCATAACAAAAATGCTAAAAAATACATATTAAATAATTATTTAATATTAAATAATGTTTGTGTAATGTGTATTAAACTGCCGTAGTTTATGTGATAGTGTTAGATAGTGATAGAAAGCAAAGGTAGGTCTCTAATAATTCTAGTACTATATCTGAAGTTGATAAAATTTGATAAATAAGAACGGTCAGTGGTATGGTCAAGTATTTTACAGGGAAACATTAGATCATATTTGTTCTGTAGTCTTCTAGGGAACTGATATTTAACTTTGACCTTAGTTTCACCAAAAACATGATCTCTGTAAGCACAAATCTGGAGAAACTTTTTTTGAATCGTTTCAATGGTGTAAATATGATTAAAAAATAGTATGGTGATCATTCGCATTCTGTGAGAATGGTATTTGAAGAAGGCGATATAATTTCGAATTGTACGAGAAGTATAAAAAAATAGTAAATGGTAGAGATGTAATATCCTTCATAAAAATAGGTAGGCTTAGATGGGCTGGACATGTGTCAAGAGCAAATGAAAATTACCCACCCAGACGAACTCTATTATCGGTCCGTGGGAAATAGGAGTAGAGGCAGACCACGACTGAGATGGAGGGACGGTGTGGACGAGGACGCAAGGAAAATCGGCGCGGCAAATTGGAGACTGGGGAAGGTTAAGGCTCAACTAGAGCTGTAGCACCACTGATGATGATGATCATACTATAAAAGCATAAGGCAGGATGATACGGGCGAAAGCAAGATATAAAATTCTATATGTGGGGACTGAAAGATCTCGAGAGTTTTTTGTGATAAAACTTGAGATTGTGGAATAAATGACAGGGAACTGTTAAATAACACTCCTCAATCTCTTATTTCAGTCACTCTTGAGAGAAGGCTTTTTCAGGCCATTGAAAAGAGACCAATTATATAGGGAAATCAGATCTTCTTGGATCCTTAGACAGTCAGATAGTTTCCCGTGAATTCTCTTGATTTCAATCACTTGCCACCATTCCAAAAGAGAAAGTGGGAGGGTTTTAAAGAGAAAAACTATAAGTAGTAATGGTGATAATGTTATGATTAACAGAATCGTGTTAACCACTCACAAAAGCCCTTTACAAATTTTTTGGTTTTTAGCAACTCACTCCCCCTTTCCACCACTGAAGTAAGGATATGATAATAAGGATTGATACTCTCTACACAATGCTTTTTTATAAATTTATGCTCCACAAAATCGTTTTCACCACCCACGAAAAACCTTTTCAAAGTTTTTCAGCGAATTTTCTTGATTTCAACGACTCACCCCCACTCCAGGGGTGTAAGTGGAGTGGTCATAAAGAGAAACACTGTATTGGGACCGTGCAAGTTCGGAACAGCGACACCTGGTGTCGTAAACCAGCCAAATTTACTGCGCTTTCATGTTAGATCGAGGTTACCGGATAACTGTCAAGGACGTGGCCCCAAAAAAGAATAAGAAGAAAAAGTAAGATTGAGGTTATGTCGGTATGTTATTAAAAGGTAAACGTTGATGTAGCGTAAATACAAATAAATATATTATTGAATTACAGCATTACTGTTAATATGGATGCAATAATAAAAACTGGATTTGAGAAAGTAAATCACCAAATAACTTTTCAACCAAGCACGAGTCAAAGGGAAAAGCTTTAGTAGTGGCAAATGTCAAAAAATAATGGAAGAATTATGTGGAGTGGAAGAACTAAGAAAAATAAATTACCATAAATAATGCTAATGCATAAATTAGCAGGTAAGCCCATGATATTATCATATTGGTTTGAACAATTACTTCTTTCCCTGTAAACTTTTGGACAGCGAATATATCTTAATGCATCTTCAGAAAAACTTAAACTCGATGCATTTTTGTAAACTTCAAAAAAAAAATAAAATTCAAACATTAAACTTGATTTTTGGGTTAAAAGGAACTCTAAGTGAGTGTTATGAAACTAAAATTTATACTTAAAAGTGAACTTTGATTTATTATTTATTTCAAACTGACTTTAAAATCGGGCGCAAGAATAATGCATAATTTAGGTTATGTTACTTATGCTTTTTTATGATATAAATCCACTTTTCTCTTTGTACTAGCTTTGTGATTCAAAGTTGGAAACGAATAAGACTTAAATTGACAATTTTTTGTTGTATTTTTACAATTTATAACACAGCATTTCCTTAATCCCATTTTCTTCAGTGACAGAAGGTGTAAATAAACAAAACGAATATGAAATATGACAATTGACAATATGAATTTATGAAATCTATAATCTATAAAATGTACAGTAAAAAAATGCAAGATTTCTCCACTACTCGCGCACGATCGTTTCTCGTATCCCCTCCAAGTACTTGCACGTCGCCAATATAATAATCTTAGTAATATGATGGTTTACAAAATCATTTTATAATACTATGAAAATCTTTTACAAAGCTTTTCAAGTTTTTTTTGTTCTTATTCACTCACTTTTAACTTTGACTTCCCTAATGGAGGGATGATAAAGGAAAATTCTCTACAATTTGACTTTTAATAAAGTTATAGTTGAAAATATCATTTTCATCAATATTTATAATACATTAATATAAACTTTTTCAAATAATTTACAACTCTAACAACAAAGGAATTGGTAGATAAATTAAACAAAATATTGATCTAATATTTAATAGACAGAAAAAAATGATTACCTTATCTTCATTACTAGAGAGATCGCTGTCGTCTTGGGGTCGAGAAGAAGACCTTAATTCTACACCACTGTCGCTCATAAGAGCATCCAACTTCGTGTCCGAAAAACGAGGGGAACATGTGTTTGGAGCGGTGTGATAGGTGTCACTACTTAAAGTATCTGGAATCACTTCTGGACTACTAGTATAGTTGACTTCACACGAATCAGGGCTTTCAACGGAGTTTACTCTTTTTAAATTAAGAGTAAGTCTAAAATACATATTAAACATTCACATCTATTACTTTTGAAGCGAAGCTTTTATACTGGCGTTGTATTACTTTTTTCTCTACTGTAAAATGCTGAGGAGAGCATCACGGAACTTGTGCCACAAGATTCATCATATATCATATATTTACTTACTTATTTTATTATAATTACATACAATATTTTATTTTATATTTTATAATATTTCATTTTATTATAATTAGAATATGACTTTTATTACATTTTGACAATCAGTACGAATCAAATCTTGCAGAGACAAATATTCTTTTAATTTTTTACCTCCCATTTAATGTCTATATGTTGATAGTTATTTTTCATGAAGTTTTTAATTTAAATCTGCTTAGAATAAATATATGATAGCTAGAAACGAATTGATCGAGTGTAGTGAATTCTGCTAAGAAAATAATATAGTAATTGCCAATACTTGGTTCCAGCTTCCTAAGAGAAGACTATGTACATGGACGTCTCCTTCACATACAGAAAATCACATTGTCAGAAACCAGATAGACTTTATACTCGTAAATAGCAGATATAAAAACTCTATAACCTCAGCTAAAACTTATTCTGGAGCAGATTTTAACTCAGACCATAATCCGTTAGTGGCTGACGTGAAAATAAAATTAAAAAGAATTGAACTCAGAAAACAACAACCAAAAATTAATGTAAGGGAGAGCGCCCACCAAATGGGGTGGCAATTGGCAAGTAGCATGCGTCTAGCATGTTACTAAAAATGTAACCAATGGAAACAAATGATTCAGCGAACACCAAAATGACAGTGACGTCATTCATTCTAATCATTACGAAAAATTAAGAATGCTACAAAACGAAGAAAAAAAAAACGATTTAAAAATAATGTGAATGTTAATATGCAAAAAACACTAATTGACAAAAAACAAATTATGGATGTAAATAAAAAGTGGTATAATATAAAAAACACTTACTGAAACCAGCTCAAGAAACTTTGATACAACATAGGTCAGAGGCTAAAAAACAGTGGACGACAGAAGAAATACTACTACAGATGGAAGAAAGAAGGAAATATAAAGGAAAAGATCTACGGAAGTATAAATAAATAAAACGAATAATTAAGGAAACAATCAAAATACTAAGGAAATCTATTTGATGAAACAATGTAAAGAGATAGAAGAACTAGAAACAAAAAATGATATGAGAAATATGCACAAAAAAATGAGAAGTGACTGGAATGGGTCGAAATAGACAGCAAGGACACATAAAAGACAAAAAGGGAGTACTACTAATAGATTTACCAGAGAAATTAAGACGATGGGAGGAGTAAGTTAGAGAATTTTTCCAAGATGAAAGAGGTGAAATGCAGAAATACAAGAATTAAATCCTTTAGAAAGACAGAAGATCACGATAGATGAAATCAAATATGCTATCAAAAACTCTAAAGATAATAAGGCAGCTGGATTAGATGAAATACCAGTAGAACTGTTAAAACTAGTGGAAGAGGATAACTTGGAAGTATTGGCAGATTTATTCAACACGGTGTACGATACGGGAATAATACCACAAGAGTGGCTGAAGTCAGCATTTATAACCATTCCTAAAAAACAATCAGCAAAAGAGTGCTCTGATTATCGAACACTGAGCCTCATAAGTCACACGTTAAAAGTACTGTTGAAAGTAATACATTAGAGAATATACGAAAGGCTAGAGGAGGATATTAGCGAGACGCAGTTCGGGTTCCGAAATGGAATGGGTACTCGAGAAGAACTATTTGCCATCAACATATTGATTCAGCGATGTCGGGATGTAAACGTTGATCTACACTTGTGCTTCGTTGACTATGAAAAAGCTTTCGATAAAGTAAGACATGAAAAACTAATATCAATACTTACGAACAAGTGCATTGACAGTAAAATCATAAATATAGTGCAAACATTATATTGAAATTAAAGTGCCATAGTTCAAATTGATGGGTAACACTCAGAAGAAATGAAGATCTGTAGAGGAGTTAGACAGGGATGTGTTTTATCGCCATTTTGTTTAACTTATATTCTGAAGAAATTTTCCAAAACACGCTCAATAATATCGAAGCGGGAGTCACCGTTAACGGAAAATTAATTAACAACTTACGATATACAGACGACACTGTGATCATAGCAACGAGTATAGAGAATCTACAACACCTTATCGAAAGCTTTAGTATGAATAGTGCTGAGAGTGGGAACTATTATAAACGCTAAAAAAATCGAAGTACATGCTAATTACAAAAAGACCACAAAATATACATCACCTATTGACAATCAATGGTAACGTGATAGAACAAGTAGAAAAATATCAGTACTTGGGAACTTTGATCAATGAAACCAATGATCATACTGTAGAAATAAACAGGCGAATAGAGATTGCCAGATCAGCATTTATACGAATGAAGCCACTCCTAACGTGCAAAAATCTAAATTTGGAAAACAGACTACGTACCATTCGCTGTTATATATTTTCAATATTATTATATGGAGCTGAGACTTGTACATTAAAAACATGCAATTTAAAAAGAATCGAGACATTCGAACTCTAGTTATACCGCAGAGTATTGAAAATATCATGGACTGATAGAATTACTAATAAAGAAGTACTGGAGAGGGTTGGTAAAGAAACAGAACTAATCACCACTATACAAACCAGAAAACTGGAATACCCAGGCCACGTGATGACGGGTCCAAAATATGAAATTTTGAGACTCATAATACAGGGAAAGATTCAAGGAAGAAGATCTGTTGGCCGAAGGCAGAACTCATGGTTAAAGAATCTACGTGATCGGTATCAATGCAGATCGATTGATTTGTTAAGAACAGCAAGTTCTAAAATAAAAATAGCCATTATGATTGACAATCTCCGTAGGGAGACGGCACTTTAAGAAGAAGTGAATCTATGTCACGAACCGCTAGTTCCTTGACGCTCGCCTCAGCATTTTACTGTGGAGAAAAAAGTAATACGCCAGTATAGATGCTTCGCTTTAAAAAGTTTACCATCTAGTGCCGGCTTAATTGGACACACCGTAAATATAGATACAAGTTTGTTGTGGAGTAGCACTCAATGGTTTTGGTCTAGAAATTTAGAAAAACTCTTGGATGTTTTGTCTAGCTTTGACTCAGAATTTACTCGTGGTGAGATTGGCTTTGAAGATGTAAATTCTACACGTCTTATTAGATTTAATTTTTTATCAAACAAATTTTGGCATAATCTTGGTTGCAGTTGGCTCCAACGTACTCATCTTTTTGTAATTCTTTTAGGTGATCAGTGTTTACCTCTACATGTTCTTTTTAAACAGATAGTTAGGTTATATTGTCAGAGGAAACTGATAGATGACTCATATTAGTTATCATGATTACTGATTGCCTATGTGTTTGTTACTTTTGGAAGGATACTGTAAAACGATTGCTTCAGAAAAATTAAATTCATGTTTGAGATTGATTAAGTTTATCCTATATATATTTGGTCACAATTTGATCGTGGTATTTCATACACTATCTATCTATCTATACAGCCCTTGCTGGCCAATTTTGGACATAGGCCTCTTCTTCGTTCTTCCACGTCTCCCCATTGTAGGCAGTTTGTATCCACTTCATGCCTGCGTGTTTCTTCAAGTCATTTGACCATCTCATTTGTGTTCATACACAACACTTGAAATTTCATTAAGTATAAAAGGATCTTGAGTTTTGGTGTATAAATTGGAGATGGTCTTAACATTTTTTATAGCGATTTGAAATCCTACTGGACTATTTGTTGTTGTATTGTCTAGTGATTGGTTTCAAGGATTGTGTATGAAATACAAAGTTCAAATTGTAATAGAATATACAGAGTGGCCCAAAAGTCTGGAAACGGCTAATTATCTCGTAAAATGCTAATCATAATTGTACAAAATTTGAGGTACACCTATTTTGGGATACGGAGATTCCATATTTGATATTTACAATGTTGCCAGATTTGCCGTTTTTCTTATATTATTAGTAACTTTGGTTTTTCAAATACATCACCCTGTATATTCAGTCATTATTGGAATCTCCTATTCAATACGAGTTCAACCATATCTAACACTTATGATTTTATGTAATCTGGAAGGTCATAAATACATAAAACCGAAGTCTGGCAACGCCTAAATTGTTTCAATAAATGTTTTAACACTAACTATTTTCAAATACATTAAAATGTAACAATTGATAGTTTAGAACATTTTTTAACATAGTAGTTACGTTATTAAGTGTTCAAAATGTGCTCAATTTGTGAGTTGACAGCACCCTAATCGATGGTAGAAGGCGACTACCACATTTCTCCATGATTGTCTAGAAATTATTCGAGATTCATTGATAATTCGTTGCCTTAGCTCTGCAAGACTTGCTGGTTAAGTTTTGTAAACTGAATTTTTCAAGTATTCCTAAAAAAAATAATCTTTAGGATTGAAATCGGGTGAACGTGGAGGCCATTCAATTCTACCTTGTCTACCAATTTATCGTCCAGGAAATATCTCATCTAAATATCGCCGAACATTTACACCAACTACCTGACGTTAAATTTCTTTCGACAAAAAATGACCCAATTGAATAAGTAACTACTATATCTTACCATACATTTAATTTTTGTGGTCTTTAAGTCTGTTTTTCACGCATTCAGTCTTCAGTGTGAATTTACGTCACACCAGTACCTTAAATTGTGTCGATTTACACTTCCACACAGTGTAAAAGTTGCTTCATCGGAAAAACATATTCTGTTCGAATAATAATTTTCAATTTTATCCATCATTACCTCAGTAAACTCTAATCTACGACCAAAGTCATCTTTACTTAATTCTTGCAATAAGTTAATTTTGTATGATTTAAATTTATTTTTACGTAATAAACGTAAGACTGAAGAATGACCTACATCATGTACTTGTGCAACCCTGCCTGGGGATGTATGTGGATCTTCAACAAAACTTTGCTTATATCTGAAGTTTTGTTGTCATTGATAACTCGTTTCGGTCAACCTGATCGGTATCTATCTTTTACTTCTCCAGATTCCTCAAATCGCCTTACAGTTTTTTGTACCGTCGTCTTATGAATAGGAGAACGGTTTAGAGAACGGCATTTTAGAGAAGCAATTTAAATTGCACAACTTTTTGAACCACAACTACTATCAATTTTAGTTCATAATTTAAATGGTGAATAAATGTCAAAATCACAGCATTCTCCATTTAAATATTTAAATTTATTAAAATCTACATATTTTGCACTGTTTTATGTATTTAAGATCTTTCAGACTACATAAAATCAAGTGAACATATGGTTGAACTCGTATTGAATAGCTGAACTTGTGTGAAATTCACACTGAATGCGTGAAAACCATATTTAAAGACCACAAAAATTAAATGTATGGTCAGTTATAGTAGGTACTTATTTAATTGGGCCATTTTTTATCGAAAGAAATTTAACGTCAGATAGTTGGTGTAAATGTTTGGCGTTATTTAGATGAGATATTTCCCGGACGATAAATTGGTAGACAAGGTAGAATTGAATGGCCTCCACGTTCACCCGATCTCAATCCTAAAGATTATTTTTATTAGAGATACTTGAAAAATTCAGTTTACAAAACTTAACCAGCAAGTCTTGCATAGCTAAGGCAATGAATTATCGATGAATCTCGAATAATTTCTAGACAATCATGGAGAAATGTGGTAGACGCATTCTAACATCGATTATAGTGCTGTTAACTCACAAATGGAGCACATTTTGAACACTTAATAACGTAACTATTATGTTAAAAAATATTCTAAACTATCAATTGTTACGGTTTAATGTATTTGAAAATAGTTAGTATTAAAAAATGTATTGAAACAATTTAGGCGTTGCCAGACTTCTGTTTAGACATTTAAGACCTTCCAGACTACATAAAATCATAAGTGTTACATATGGTTGAACTCGTATTTAATAGAAGATTCCAATAATGACTGAATATACAGGGTGATGCATTTGAAAAACCAAAGGTACTAGTAATATAAGAGAAACTGAAAATCTGGCAACATTGCAAATACCAAATATGGAATCTCCGTATCCCAAAATAGGCGTATCTCAAATTTTGTATAATTTTGTCTAGTAATTTACGAGATAATTAGCCGTTTTCAGACTTTTGGGCCACTCTGTATATAAAAACTACTAGAACATTGTAGAGTAGGATTATATCACATAAAAGTGACACAAACACAAACAGATCATGTAATCATTAAATCTCAAGCATGACTTTAATTTTTCTGAAGCAATATTTTTACAAAAAGAAAGCAATGAACAAAAACGTTTATTTATGGAAAAGGCATACATAAAATGTATTAACAAGAAATTTGACATAGAAAAATTAAGTGATCCTTTCAAAAGTATCAAAAACCTAGGCAACCAGCAATCATGATAAGTAATATGGGTCATTTATCAGTTTCCTCTGATAACATAACCTAAATATCTGCTCGGAAACCACATGCAGAGGTATACAATGATCATCTACAAATAAGTACTATGGAGCTCAACTGTAACCAAAATGTTGCAAAAATTGTATAATAAAAACTTAAATCTAATAAGACATATAGAAGTCACAGCTTCAAACCGAACCTCACTACTAGTAAGTTCATAGTAATTTTATATTAGTAAATCTACTTACTAATATAATTATTTTCTTAGATGTCCTGAAGAAGAATTAAATAAATTCGAAAACGTCCAAAAGTTTTTCTAAATTTCTAGGCGAAAACCATTGACTGCTACTCCACAACAAACTTGTATCTATTATAATCATTACTCAAAAATACTACTACTTATTATAAAAATTACCCTTGTTTCTTTTCTTCTATCTTTTTTAATTCCTCTTCGGTTCTTTTACACAATTCTTGTTTCAAATTTTCCAATTCTTCGGTTTTGGTGTCATCCTTTGATAAAGACTTTTGTTCATCAACTAGATCAACAATTTTTTTATCCAATAATTCTACACTTTTTTGTCGTTCGCATAAAGTCTTTACCCGTCTATTTAGTTCAGCTTGAAGTTCTGCCAATTCTTTCCGCTAAAATATTAATAACAACTTATTACTAAAAAAAACACATACACTAATACATTTGATTCACTGATCTTGGAGTCGGAAACATATATAATAAAATTTCTATCGTTCATATCCTCGTTGGTCCACGCGTACACATATGTGTACAAATTAATCAAAATTCATATTTTTCATTGTACTTTTCTTAATTTTAGTTTGGCGCCACATATCGTTCCTGAAGAACATGTCTACTTGTTTATGTAAGAAATAATATTTTATATTGATACCAGTACCTGGCAATTAGTTGAACTGCAAAGTTTGTGTTTTGAGGACGTTTAGAAAATGGATACTTCATGATGTAAATCTTATTAAATTTCTTGTAAAGTTAGTTACAAAAAAAAATTAATCTGGTTATATCGTTTTCTAAGGATTAATTTATAAGATAGAATGTATAGTTTTATTTAAATTTTACTTTCTGCAAAGTTATCAGTCATCAAAAAAATTTGTTCACAGATGCGTACATTAGGTTTTAATGCCACATTTGAAAATATTTTTTGAAATTTCATTCGATATTAATCTACCTTTTTTTTTTAATATTTAGACGCTGTAGAATCTTTTTTATATTACGTTTTCTAGAATAAACGCGAATAAATTTAGCGAAAACTGTTTCTTTTTTATTACCTATAACAAGTAAAATATACGCATGTTAATATACACTTCATCTAATTTATATAACGATGCACCATGATACTATGACTATAAGATAAGATATTGCGCATGTTTTGTGACGTCATTGGAGAGTTGCACGTTCGAAATGTCAGTTTTTTGTATATATCAATAAATAATCTTTAATAAATAGTTTGGAGATATCCTTATGTATACGATTATTGTAATTATTAAACCTCTTAACTTATTTTCGTCTAGTAATTTTATCACAGAATGCATACAAATCCCATTTAACTTTAACAAGATTTCAAATTCTACTCTCCAATGACGGCATGCGCGAACCCGACCGATTTTGAGCTATGGGAAGATCCTATCTTGTTAATCATAGTATCATGCGATGCACGTCATCAGCGTCATAGCCTGTAGCGTCACATGATACCAACATAAAATATTTAGGGTGTAGGTGTGTTCTTTTTTAGAACCACTTTACCGAGTACACTGACATTACAGCCACTAGACATATTTTATTATATACGCGTAGAAATCATATTTAAAAATTTCTATTAATGTTAACTTGAAGAAATACACAATAATATGTTTCATTTAATTTGTATAAATGCATTATAAAGCATTTTTATCAAGAACATTTGTTCGGAACACACTGTAACTGTAATCGAACGAAGGTAAAATTTTGGCATACATTGGTAACACTTATTTGACAGTTGCGGTGTTGACACTTTTTGTACTTCATTATTTTGAATTTTAACGTGAATATCTCTTGTTTTATATTTTTAACTATCTAATAAAATCTGTTCTTTTTAGAACAAAATTAGTGTGTTTTATTTCAAAAATGTCACGTAAGAATTTAAATAGTCGTTGTAAAGAGATGGTAATACTTTTGCAATAATTATGTAATCTATTTGATTTAAAATGGAGTCAGGATTTTTTTATACTTTGGCAACAATGTCAACTTCGATCTCTGACGTAGATAATGACGTAAGTCGTTATCTAAATTAGATGAAGTATAGTGTTGTATGAACCCGATGGTCACATATGTGTACATATATTTTTTCTTAAATGTAATTGTGTGGAAAAATAAAAGGAAATAAAAAAATTGAATTGGTTAAAACCAAAACAGGAGAAACAATAACTGATAGAAAAGAAATTGCAAATGAATTTAATACACGTTACAATACATTATAACATAACTGAAATTTTATTCGAAATAAATCTACCTTTTTTTAATATTTAGACGCTGTAGAATCTTTTTTATATTACTTTTTCCAAAATAAACACTATTTGGTGAAAAATTTTCATTTTTATTATCTCTAATACAATTACAAGTAAAATGTACGCATGTTAATATAGTGTCGTATGAACCCAACGGTCACATATTATGTGTACATATTTTTTTATATTTAAGATATATTTATCTACAAACTAGCAATAACAATCTAAAAATCTACAAACAAAATACCACCAATAACCATAACACCAATAAATCATACATCTACTCAATCGCTCTCACTCTACAACAGTCCACCACTTATCCATCAAAAGAGCAAGCTATGGTATCTAATTCTTTAGATGTTATTAAAATTGAAGAATCTAACTCAGCTATTGGAAATAATGTTATTGATGTCAAGAACATCTTATTTTCTCCAATAATTTTCAATATATATTGTAATGAGAACAGAAATACAATAAATTAGTATAGAAATATATTTAAGTCAGCCTTGGGTATATACAACCAGATATACACTGTTAATAAATTTATTTAAATAGTAATTAAAGACATAATTTAAAGTTGTATACTTTGACGTTTAGATGGAAAGTGGGGTTATTTATTATTTGGAATTTTAATTTAAATATAATTACATATGTAAAATAGTAATAATATATTTCATATAAATGTTTAAGTTACATATAATAGTGTAATTCTGATCTGGAGAGCCTAAAGTCAGTTAAATTGTACATGTAGATCAGAGAAAGTTCTAAAAACGTCAATAGGACTATTTGCATTATCCATCACATAAACAAAAACCATTCCATTTATTCCAGAATGTTCAGATAGAAAAAATAGAACGATTCGAACCTTATTTATTGCTAGATTATTCTGGAACCAGGAAAAATATATAAATACCATGTAATTTGGAGCAGATGATCAGTTATCAGTTAGAGGAAGTCAAGTACAGATATTCAGTTAGTATCAGTTAGTGGGTTAGTTAGAAGAATTCAAGGCATTGAGTTACAGATTATTATTAAGTTAGAGTTGATTCGTGAAGTGAATTAAGTTACAAGAAGTTACAGTCAATTATTAAGTGAATTAGTTTGAAGAATTTAAGATTTCAAGGATTATTATTAAGTCAGTTACATTAGATTATTAATTATAAAGAAGAATTAAGAAGAATTTATGAGGTTATGAAGAGATTATTAGCTAGAAGAAGGCATTGATTAAGTTAAATGAATTAATTAAGTCAATTACAAGTGGAGATTAATTATTACTACAGTAATATAGTGACAGTATGAAGTTAATTCATTGAAGTAAGCATTCAATAGTAGTACAACCACAAGATCCAGTATATTTGAAAGTACATTATATGGAAATTACAAGGATTTAAATTTATATATTAATATGGTGAGTGGAGATAATTAAGAAGAAATCGAGTGGTGATAATAACTTTAATTTTGGAAAAACTTTAGGCGTTCAGTGACAGAAAGGTACCAAATTTTGTTAATAATTTAATAATTGTAAGAATTTCAAATTTTAGATAGATTGTTTAAATTGATATTGCTTATATTAGATATATAGGTTTGTTTCATAATAGTTATAATAAAGATAATTAAAAAAAAATACTTACAAACTAATTCTTTGAGAACCGCGATAAACACCCTATACTTACATATATCATTCAAATTTACTCATAGCTCATACAGAAACAACACATCATAACAATTTATATGCCGTCATATCAATAGGAGCATCCACAGCCATCAATCTCCCACTCAATCTCAACCCAAAGATTCAGACACTCATCGTATGAAAAGCTTTTTTCCTTAAATCAAAGGTGTCACTGACAAAATCGACAAAAATAATTCAATCAAGAGGAATAAAGACGATATTTACCTCCCCATCAAAAACTTATCTCTTGTCCGATCAATCAAAGACAAAGTTTTGAATGAACAACACAAAATTTATGAAATTCCTTGTGCCATTTTATGTAGGCGAAACAAATCGTATAATCTAAAATACTTAGGATTTATGAACATTTCATTTCTGTTCACAATTCCGATTCAATTTCAGCACTAGGGCAACAGCATTTTCATACAGTTTACAAAATTGATTTTGAAAATTGCTGAACCATATCCCCCCTTCTATAAATATTGAATTATCCGACAAGCCATAGAGATTAAAAAAAGCCAAATTGTCTCAATAAAAGAGATGACGGCATCCAGTTACCTTCGACAAGTAGACCTCTCATAAACAACATATCGTCTGCTCCACCCAAAGCACGTCATCATCGACTATATAAATGAATCATCCACTGTCCCCAGTAGCGGTAGTGCAGTGATGAAGAGTGCAGTAGTGCCTGGGGGCTCAGCAGACTAAGACCCAGGAAGTCCTAAAGAAGATGCCAGAGAGGATAACGAAAGCTCGGAGCAGTGATAATCGGCGCGGTTCAACCCTGGTGAGTTTAATATTAATTTTTCTAATAATATTAATCTTAGTTTTAGGTTTAACAACTCTAAGCGACCACTCCTATGAAGAGACCACTTGCTTCTAACGACCGATCATTAATTCTCGGTCATTGGAAATGAAAATCACAAATTTACTAGTACCAGTGAATGATAAAAAAAACATGAAGGGGCAATAAAATTGAACCATTCTTAAGAAATATAAATAGAGTACAAATTCCTTAATGGTAGGCAGGTCATAAAATTTATTTCTCACGCTTTTAAGCTTCAGTTCAATTTTAAACATTTATGTGTTAACTAGTATTGCCTACTGGTTATTGATTATTCTGCGTGGGGCGTTGTAGTCAACACTTTTTTTATAGTGGTATTAGTGTTATTTTTGAAGTAACGAGTATGGCATTAGCTGAGTGAAAAAGTACACGGAAATATTATTAAAAATGCATTCATATTATATCGATCGGGTCATAAAAACAGAAGTATTAGAATAGAAAAAAAAACAACGACCTGAATTCATGATAGAACCATAATAGTATACTGTGACATATGATTATAGCGATAATGTCCCGAATTTTTTTGCACATATTTCACTTGATATATTTCGCACCCTGGGAGAATAAATACATACATGGTTAGTCTGTACATAAAAAGGTATATAATTATTAACAAATGAACAAAAAAATGACTTACGTGTTTGTCAACTATATCTTTAATAATAGAAGATCCAGAAACACTATTAAATATTTCTACAAGTTGGTCATTTTCTTGAGGTAGTAAAGTCACCTGTTTTGTTTTTGTAACCAGATCCTAAAAACATGAAAATCTACTGTATAAATATATAAAATCTATGTATAAAAAGTATGTTGAAAAGTAAAAGATTTTTATGAAAGGGATATGGGAAATATGAATCATTTAAGCGTAGAAGTTTCTTTTTCATAATCGCCGCTAGCCTTACAATATTTACTCTTTAAAACAATTATGTCTCCCTGTTAACTATCTTTCATCACAAGCTTGTTTATGTCTTCTTCCCATTTGTTTTTTTAAGCTCTTTTCTGTATTCGGATTGCCGAATATAGGCCTCTCATAATTCTCACCATTCATCCCTGTTGTTTGTAAGACGTTACCACATTGGCTCTGCAGTTCTTTAATATCGTCGCTCCATCGCATTTGCGGTCTTCCTCGTGGTCTTTTGGCTTCATATGGCCGCCAATTCCCGATTTCTTTATTTCATCGGCCATCCGTAAGACGTTCGTTATGTCCAGCCCATTTCCATTTCAGTTTAGCTGTCTGTGCGACAGCATTTTTTTTTGTTCTATTACGAATGTATTCATGTCTTGGTTTTATGGTCTTTGAGTGAGATACCCAGCACCTGTCGTTCCATAGCTCTCTGAGTTGTTCTGATCTTCTCCACGTTTATTTTAGTGAATGTCCAGGTTTGAGCTCCATATGTAAGCACAGGTAGGATACATGAATTAAACACTTTGGTTCGCAGTCTTTGAGGTATATTTTTATTTGAAGTACGTATGAGAGTCTTCCGAACGCTGTCCATCCCATACGTCTGCTTATACCGGTAGTCTGAGTTTCTTTGCTTACCTTGACATTTTGAGCCAGATATGTATATTCATCTACCTGTTCTATCTCTGTCCCTTCGATGTTTATCATAGGTTTGTCATCTTTGTTTGACATTAGTTTAGTTTTGCTGAAATTAATTTTCAGTCCCTTTTTTAGGGATTCTGTGTGTAGCTCCTCAATCATCATATGCAGTGCACTCCACGTATCGGCTATTAGTACTACATCATCTGCGTATCTAAGGTGGTTCAAGTATCTTCCGTTAATAGGGATTCCCTTATGTTCCCAGTGTATTGACTTAAAGATATCTTCTAGCGCAGCTGTAAATAATTTTGGAGATATTGTGTCTCCTTGTCTTACTCCTCGGTTGATTTTTAAGGGTCTTGTTTCGATTCCATTACCCAATGTCACTATTATTTCAGCTTGTTCGTACATATTATGTAATCGTATTCTGTACCTGGAATCGATCCGGTTGTTGACTAATGCTTCTTCTACGCATCTGTTCTACGCTATCAAAAGCTTTTTCATAATCTATAAAAGCCAGACATAATGGGAGATTGTATTCGTTAGTCTTTTCTATTAGGATTTTTAAAGTGTATAGATGGTCACAGGTGCTGTACCCATTTCTAAATCCGGCTTGTTCTACTGGTTGATATTAGTCAAATTTAATTGTTAACCTGATTGTAATAATCTTTGTAAAGGTTTTGTAAAGTTGAGAAAGAAGTGAAATTGGTCGATAATTTTTCAAGTCTGTGGTGTCTCCCTTTTTGTGTATTAGTATTGTTTTAGAAGTATTCCATTGTTCGGGTATGTTGCCTTGGAATAGACATTTATTAAATAATATTTTTAGATATGTGATGACTTCTTCTCCGCCTTCCTTTAGCATTTCTGCTAGAATTCCATCGCTTCCAGGAGCTTAATTCCTTTTTATTTCTTTTATTGCTCTTTCTATTTCTTCGTGGCTTATTTCGGACATCACTTCTGAGTTGACATTTGTTATCTGTCATTTCAAATTCTGCTTTGAAGAGTTAGGGGGATCATTTCTGGAACGGTAC